GGCCCAGACAGGAGAACATTCTGGCGGCTAGAAACCGCATGAACTGTATCTAGTACTAAATGGACTGATACACTAGTATTCTAATCTATGCTGTTTTTAGTACCCTTATACTTATTTTTATATACTTATATTAGGTTTAAATGTGTGTCTTGTTTGTGTGCTTGTGATTGTTTTGTGTGTGGGCCACAACACCAGCCCCCGCTGCCTGTGGTCCACGAGTATTGTACTTGTTTGCAATTCTAATAAATCAAATCAAATCAAAATCAAAGGAAAGGGTGGGCCAGGGAGAAGTATCAGCCAAACTTAGGGCAAAATAAAGAAGATGAGAGGACATAGCATAAAATAAATAACAGAACAACGTATCCTAAAATATAGGAAATATAGCTCAAAGATAAAATAAAAAAGTTTACAAAGATAGAAATCAATCAATTAATCAATAAATAAATGCATAGATAATACCAAAATGCAATACTTAAATTTGTAAGGTACTTGGTGATGGCCAGCTGAGCTTAATATCATATCATATTTTCATATCCTAACCACAGGCAAGAAAACCACATAAAACAAACGATTTACAAGAAACATTGGTGCTGGACAGAACTTGAATGTATTGCATTATATTTTTACAATCCCTCAGTGTCGTCTGTTAAAATGCCAGACAACACTACAATGTATCACAAAATTCGAGCTTAGTACTTACAACTACAAACTCACTCCTGTACATACAATGACCATATAAGTGTTGTCACAAATACACAAATTAGCTAGTACTTACTCAATGATGGCAAGACTTTAAAAAACAAGTAAGCAAAATTCGCCTCCATCAATTTCCTCTTTCCCCACAAACTTAGTCTCATTGCTGCCATGAAAACCATTCAATAAAATAGCCAGATTCCATCATAATTCTCACACTTTAGCTTGACACGTCTTTCAATTTTTAAAAGCTTCAACATTCAACCTTTGTCCGTCACTGATACCATAATCAGCCATTGTATTTACTTTGATCAATGATAAAACACAAGATCTTGCTGCTTTATCGCAAAAAGGAAGTTATGAACAGATGTCAGTGATGGTTACATTGTGACACATTCTTACAGTTGAAGTTACACCAACATTTTACACCATCTTCAAGAAAACCTTTCTCATTGCATGGTGGAAATACTTTTCCTCGTCTTCTTTACAAATAGCTGCTGAAGAAACATAACAATAAAGCTTAAGACAAGCATTTTTGTGGGAGAATGGCTCACATGGGTAAAACACATGCACATCAGCGATCCCTTGACATACATTTTGCATCATTCACAACATTGAACCCTCCTATTTACATACTAATTTCAAGCACCTTCTGAGGAAAGGCAAGTCTTCAATCTCAGGCAGAAAACTCTTGGCAACTACTTTGCTGATTTCAAAGGTATCAGATTCCCCATTACATGTACTACACCACAGGACAGTAATCCACAAATCTGGCGGAATCTTAATATTTCTGATACATTTCTTATCTTCTCCCTATAGCACTTACATGACTTGTACATTTTGTACAGCAACGTTGTCACAGTAGTTTACCCTGGCCCCACAATTGAACATGCTATAAGCCTACTCATACATGTAGTTGGCCTCCAGCAGAAATTCCTTCTAAAAAACATTCTCACAGAACCAAATCAAATGAAATCATATCAAACCAAGATCATCATGAATGCATGATCATTCTCCAATCTAACGTTACAAACTGTTTCCTCAGTTAGTACATGGTACCTCCACTAAGGTCAGTTGGATAGAGTGTTGCAACATGCTATACCCTCTTCTAGAACTGGTCAGTTAGTTGTGCTCTCCTGACATGATAGTCTTATCAATGACTTTGATGACAGTATTACATTGAATTGAAGGAATTTCAATTGGGAAATATGTATACTGGCATATTGTATTCCTCCAACATAAATAAGTTTGAGTTTTCCTTTGTCTGCACAATCTTGATTCTATGGTTGGCATTCTGCATCAGATTTGGGCATCCAGATAATGTACATGTACTTCCAAGTCAACTAATGTCTTTATGAACATTGCTTGCTGAAAGATGATGCTTGGAAAGTTCTTTGTCTATTGCAGATAGTGCAAAGCTGTTCACATTACCCTGCAAAACGTTTAGCTTTACAACATGCCCAATACAATACACTAGGGTGTGATACAGTTGTACAAATCATAGCAGAAATAAAAGTAACTAAAAATTCATACAGGAACCACAGATAAACATCTTGCCAAGTCTGGGGATACCTATAGTGACTTTATTCGTGTCAATTGGAAACTCTTATAACCTGTTAAATATTTACATTTAAAATTGTATCTGTATTATACGTATGCTGTCGGGGTGGTGTATTGGGGTCTAGTGAAAATATTACTCACAAATACTTAAGATAGGAATTGATGTACAATTCATAGTATTCAATGATTAAAGTATAATTATTATAGTTACTGTATTTCCATGGGTGCACTTTTAGCTGTCTAAAACATCATATGAGAGTAACATAAGGACTAGTTGTTTTCAATTTTCTCATTTTCATTCACTGCATTTCTAACAGCGACAATCTCCTGGCACAGTAACTGTTGTAAAATTTACATTGACTTCATTTAAAATGGGAATTTTGTTGGAAGTCGACGCTTACAGTTTGGCACCAAAGGGTAGAATGAAAAGGGGAGGATAAGAAAGGGACTACAAATGTATATGGCATGTTTTTCAGTGTGTGACACAGGCCACACCTACAGCTAGCAACCATGGATGGTCCTGCCCAACTTCTATGTCTCCAAGCAGATCCTAGGGTGGCAAAAAGACAGTATCAAATTGGCCAGGCAGTATCCATTGGCCAGAGAGGGTCCAATACGGTAACATTCTTCCCCCATCAACCTCTGCTTGAGGAGTACCCAACTCCCTCCTTGATCTATTTTCAAACAAAATACAACTTTGCTCAGGTCAGGGAGAACCTTGGTTAAGTTTCTGTACTACAATACAAATGTATAGAAAACTGGCCTACAACATAGCCATCAGTTTGTATGCAATATTTCAGATAATTCTTCTAAAATTTGAAGAATGTTTGATGATGGAGGAAGGGGAGGGGACAGGTGCCAGCTACGTAAGCTGTGTGACAGCACAACAATTCATTTAGGACAACAGAAGCATGGAAAACCCATTGTATCTACATACATGTTCATATTTCTGTACTTCACAACAGTTCTCTATTTGTTTCAAGCATGGCTTTAGACTGTGCTCTTCTTTAAATAATCTTCAAGACTGTTAGTATTGAAAACACTTTCAAAATTATTAATACATGTATTTTTTCTTCCCTTGTTATCCATGTCTACACTCAGATATAACTAACATTACCAGTAGAACAATCCTTTTATAATAACAATGAACACAAAATTTACACCGAAGTAAAAGAGACACAAATGGAATAAATATATCTGGAATATCATACAGTACAATGGCATAACCTATAGTACCCTGGATGCCAAACTCGCTGTCCGGGCCGCAAAAGCCCTTCGCCCGCTGGTGTAAATTACCGCTACGGGGGAGTCTAGCCCGGGGGGAGTTTGGCTGGCCGGACAGTTCTAGGGCCAGCCAACTCCCCTCGGGCTCAACTCCCCCGTAGCGGTAATTTGGGCAGGCGGGCGAAGGGCTCTCGGCTGCCGAAGGAAAACGGCTAACGGCCCGATACTAGTTTGGCATCCAGGGTAAACCTATAGGGGTTGGACTGGGAAGGGCCTGGGCTTACAAATGTACTACACATACATGAATAGGGTATTAGGCATACAAGGTACATGATGCACTTTGTGTAAGTACAAGTTAAACATTCGAACACTCCATCAAGATCAAAATCAGCGTTTTCATTCTTATACATGATTGGCTGGGGTTGTGATAAAGTACTGGCATCTGTACAGGCGTAACATGATATCAAATAAGACACCTTTGAGCCCTCTATCTCTAATTTTTTTTTCAAACACCACTCTTTGAACATTACACATACATGTACATGTACATGCATCTTGACATAGTAGAATATAATCATACATTATGCAAATAAACAAGCAGACCTGACAAATGAGAAGAGTTTACCACTGGAACAAATTTAGATTTTCTCTATTCAAGATTAGAAATTGTTCCAATTTAGCACACATAAATACGCTATCTTTAAAACATGTCATAGACATATAGCCTAGCCTGTGTGTTGCATTTTCTAGCAGATAGGAAATTTCTAAAGTCAGCCGCTTATAATTAAGTTATAATCCCTACATTACTGATTCACTTGCAGCACAGTGCACTTACTGTAAAAGGTAAAATTTTGGCAAGTGTTTTGTTTTGGCAGATTTGAAATTTATCCTGGTTAATATACTAGTAGATATTGCTAGACCAGCTCTGCCAGTCTGGTAAAAGGTGGCTTGCCAAACTATTTTGCCTGCCAACCCCAAATGGCTAAAACACAGCCTCGCCAACAATAGTACAACTGTATCACTGGCAAGAAATTTTGCTTCTGATCTTCAATTCTGTCTACATAACCAGTATTTGAAGGTTCTGAATAGAAAGTACTGTAAGCTTTTCCAGATATTGTATCCTGTTTTTCTACGCAAATTGTCTTTTCCTTGACTGCTTGGGAACACTGCAGTCGTACATGTATATTATGCAAGTCGAGTATACGGAATCCTATATACAATGGTTTATAATGGCTACGATTGTTGGGTAGCTTTGTTCACCACTCCTTCATCTGGAAATGGTCGTCCTCTTGGTAGAACACGATGGGTTCCGTGTTACCATGGTTACTGGTGAGGCCGTACTTCTGTCTCATCAGCTGTTGTCTGTGTACTGCTGCCGCCCCTGCTCCAGGCTAAAGGGGAAAGGGCAAGGGTCAACATATAACTATACACATGTACATGTATGTCCTCAGAAAGAGTCTGTAACACCAAAGCAAGTAGCAGTGCAATATTATTTGTTGTTATGCAAACCTCAACCTAGCCTGGGTACCATCTTGCTTAATAGTTTATGTCTGCTATGTTGATAGTCGCAAGGTGGGTAGCAACTAGCGGAGCGGACGTTAACTAACCAGCTTGGTACCCAGGCTAACCTCAACCTTCCCCAAAATCCCCAAGATTTACAAATAAAGGTAAATCTATTCAAGCCAAACCTTGTAAATCCCCTGGTTATCACTGGATGCTGTAATTTTGACCTGCTACATGCTAGAAAAAGCCCTTGTTTCCTGTTGTTGTTGCGAGTGTACTCTCCAAGCAGATGTTTTGTTGGCCGCAAAAGACAGAATTAAATTGGCCAGGCAGTATCCATTGGCCATACTGACTGCTTGGCCAATTTGATACTGTCTGTTGTGGCCACCTAAACATCTGCTTGGAGATTAGTGTGAGTGTAGATGTATGTCCACAGCCACCCCAACTTGTAAACCAAACTTCAGTGTATACCTAAACCGTGTATTCCTGTTGTTCGGGGACCTCTAAAACCTTCCCGTATTTCCTGACCATGTGCTGTCGGCGAACGTGCACTGACCCTGAACCAGGCTGATGGGGCAAAGGTCACATGTCAGAGGTCAAGTATCAATCAATCTGATGACAACATTTTTCTCCAAGAGACTGAAATACATGTACTGGTAGTCCTACAAGGCTACTCTTCTATTAATCAAGTCATTAGTCTTAGTAGTGTTGTACATGTAGGCTTCAGTTTTTTTTTTACCTACCAGGGGCTCTATAAATGGTCGCTCTCTTTCCCTCTCATGTCTCTCCCTGTGATGTTCATCGTGATCTGAATGTTATACAGAACATACCAAACGTTAATATGTTCCTTACACAAGTATACATGTATGCAAAAAGAATATACAGACGTACATACAGCTAGCACAAGAACCCATCTAAAAGTGCATACATGTAGTGATGTTAGTGTAGGATGTAGAACATGTACCAGAAAAGCATTATGTGTAAAGCAGTCTGCTGCACAATACTCTGTAGTACACACCATATGGATTGAACATGCTATCCTAGCAAGGTGTGCTATACATTGTACATGTAGCTGATGCACTTACCATCTAAATACTCTTCTTCCTCTAACAAATTGGCTGTGGAGGGTGCAGACGAGTTACTTAGACTGATAGAATGTTAAGGAAAAGAGAAGCTGAAGATAATTGTACACCTTTTTCGTTAAATGTTAAAATCTAGTTTTGATACGAAAAAAATTACTACAAAAAGTTAGTTGCTAAATAAGGCCACACCAATTTAATTTGTTGGTTCTTGGATTCGCCTCTTCGTTTTTTTCTGATTTGCAAAAAAAAAAATTGATTCTGGTCCTGAATCAACTGAAAAAATGCTCATGTTTTGCCCCCCAACAGTTGAGGAAAGTCCTTTTCTTCCTAGTTGTTACAGTTTTCCCATCTATCATTGCAGTGGTTTGATTAAAAGTTCAAAATTCAATGTTTAAATTTTAACCCAGCCTTTTGTGTTGACTTCATGGCTCATTCCGTAGCATTTAAGCCTATAATGGGATGCCTAGACCTGTTTTATTTTTTATTTTTTTCGCCCTGTCGCTTCATATTTTTTCTTAAAAAATCCGAGAACCAACAAATTAAATTGGTGTGGCCTAAATAATGATTGTACAAAGCAGTAAAGGATACAGTTGTTTTCCACTGGGTCTTCCTCTCCTGGAGAATTTCCTAGCCAGCTCATTGAACTTCTTTCTTGTGGCTGTATAGAAAATACAGTAATATATCAGTGAGACCATTAAAATCCACAAGCATCTACATACATTTGTTGATGTTTGAAATGTATGTTAACTCAAAAAATGAAAATATAACAATTAAAACTGATGGGAAAATTTTGAAAGGAGGGACTCCAGCTCTACATGTACATTGTAGTTTAATATCATTAACTACCAATACTCTAAACACAAAAGATAAGAATAATCACTACAAATGATCATTACAAAACACAAGACATCCATAATAATGAACAGCAACACTGATACCTGAAGTCATATCATTATACAGGCAGCCATCTAAAATTAGTACACAGAGGAAAAACAAAGGTTTGATATCATTATAATGAAGTAACACCTAGTAAACAAGGTTTTAGTCCAACACTGTAAAAACTGCACTGTTTACATAGATGCAGAGTTTAAGTTTTGTTCCGACACAAGAAAGGAACTCACCATAAATTTTCACTCGATATCATCAACCTATGTCAGATGACTGTATAACAGGAGCTTTCAGACTAATTTGCATCTTCTTGTCTTGACTTGTCTGACTTTTGTTCCTTTTTCGACTTCCAAAAATTTGTCTTCACCTTATTTGCATATCAATCAATAGGTTGTGCTTATAAACCTGTTTTCCCCTCTGGTCTCTCAGTCACTGACGAAAGCTAGTGGATCCTAGCTGAAACGTCTGACGTTTTCAAAATCATATCCAGTTGCTTGAGTAACTGTTTTTTGGCGTATAGTAGCCGTAATCGGTTAATTCAATCAGCCTCGGCACCACATGTTTCTATGCAAACGGTACCTGTCCTTGGTGCTGAACGCCATCCTCATAGTATGACTCTCCGGAAGATCATACAACGTTGATGACATCAACCTAAAATTTATCGTGAATTCCTTTCTTGTGTTGGAACAAATTTAAACTTAAACTCTACAACTATGGATTCTACCAACACAGATGAGCTTTCATTCGAATGCAACGTTTACAATTCAATTTTACTGAAGAAATGTGCAGCATCTGGTGCTCTGTGAATGGTTTCATGAGATTGGTAAGTCACTGAGTAAAGAGACTCTTTTTACACACCCAAGTGTTACATTCAGCCAACATTATGGTGACTGCATCTATAGCAGTGACACCTGTGCTGCAGTGCAATGAAATGTGAACCAGTCAGAAATTGCCCTGGGGAAGGTGACAAACGGTCACCGAAACGTCAGCTAAATAAAAGACTTAGTTGCATAAAAAGAGTCTCTTTACTCAGCATCTGGTGCTGTGTAGAGTGACTTACATTTGCCCATGTGCTTCAGCCTCTCCTTAAACATGGCGTCATCGTCCCTGAAGGCCCCTCCTGCTGCTCCCAGTCCGTCTCCATGGTGAAACCCGCCGTTCTCATGGACGGGCGGCAACGGAGGCATCGGACCTGCACACGGCATGGCAGGGGAACGATGGATCAAACGTAAGACTAAATGTCAAAGATCATGCCGATATGATAAGCCCAGATGGTACAGAAATATATCAAATACCTGTAATTTGATAATCTGAATAAGTGGTTTCTTTAAAGAAATTGATGGAAAACTTAACTGCACAATTAGTTTGTATATTGATGATAACCAAGTGTCAACAAAGTGCCCCAACTTCCCCTGAAATTGTGCTCTAAGAAGTGTTGTGCATTTAACTGTTGCATGGACTTAATTGCACAATACAAGAATACTTTACCATCTGTAAAATAGCTTCATCAGATTGGTAAATCAATGCACATTTTTTTAAAACAACCTAGTTTGTTTGTGTAAGTAGAACTTTATAAATCATTGTGGAGAATGGCTAACCAATGAATATCATAAACAATCAGAAAAGCCTATCTAATCTTTTGTACTTTGTATCAAAGTATCATCTTGTGTGTAAAATTAAGAAACAAGACTGGTTGAAGGTTCTTTACCATTTAAGTCTTTACTGTCGAGTGGAGGTGGAGGAGGAGGGGGAGGGAGAGGGTCTCCAGTCTCTGTACCCAGGGAGCTGTGTCTCGTCGCACGTAACCGATCTGAGAAGGAAATACAAACAACAGAGATGTGAGACTTTATCCTGACAAAAATGGACACTCCTTTAATATCTCTGTTCTAATCTTAACTATATCATGTTCCATCTCAACCCCAAATGATACAAGTTTAAAGCATAGGGGAGTGTCAAACATACAAAATCGCAGATGGCAGATACAAGAAATTTTATCAAGTGAACAATTTTTGCATGTTGGGAAAATCGAGTTAAAACTGGGTTAACTACAAAGATGTACATTGTAAACATTTAGATATTCAGTATCAACAAACTATGACAACCCATAAAGTAGCATCACAAAATGCATATATACATGACATATATTGTTTTTAAGAAGTAAAAACCATGGAAGATAATCTGTAACCCAAAGGCATAAGGAAGGAGGAAGTACGTGTTCTAGTGCACACTTACCAAACAGATTCCGTTTTGACGTCAAAAACAGTTCGTACTCAGCGATTACCCTAACTTCAATCCAGTGCAGTACCTTCCCCATGACAAAAATCTGCCCCTTACGTACAAATTCAAAAGATTTCTCAAGATTTTCTCAGTTTTAAAGCAGAAAATAGGCCACAAGACTCTTACAGCACTCCCGGTGTTTTTAACTGGACCTTGGACAGTGTTAGGTGGTACCACCCTTCGTCAGGTTGACCCAGATATGTTTACTTTCTAACATGGCAACAGCAAATGTTTAACCAAGTCTTCTATTAATAGCCTATTCCATTTAAACTTTGAGCAAGGGCGGAGAGATTTTCTAGTTTCTAATGAAAGGAAGGCTGATGATAACAGATTCACGCCAAAAAATAAAACCCTTATAATGCCTTCATGTACATGGCCATTCTATTGTGGTAAGAAATTTCATTTTACTCTTTTGTTGTGTATCTTTCTAGTGGTAAGCATTTTTCCCCTCTAGCCTTGCCATTTGATAACAAGCGCTGCTCGAAATAGGGCTGCTCGAGAGATATACAAAATCTTCCCCCCAAAAAATTAAACAAGCTAGAGCCATACATCTACTTGGACAATGTAAGAAAATTAGAGCACCTTTTGAAAGACCAAGAAAGAAAGGAATTAAGAAAGACATCCACTACCAGTTATCTCCACCTTCATAGTGTCAACATACAGGACAAAAGTATCTGGCGATCTGCCATCAAACCTCTATATCAGAGGTGCTGAGCACGTCTAACCGTCGCATGCACAGGGAACAACAGACAACTAAACTGTGGTAGTGAGAGAGTACAAAGTAATAATAACATGTCAAAGTAAAACATGACAAGAAAACTCAAAGACGAGACCTTTACTGGGTTGAAGACAAGAGACAGAGTTCATCTCAAAAGCTTAACAGAGTAGCTAACTTTTTGTTGTGTGTTTTGTTATAAATATTCGTCAAAATTACAGCTTCCCTCACCTCTTTCTAAAGCACTGATGAACTCCTGGTTCCTCCTGAGTTCCCGTAAGAACTCCTCGTTCTGCAGGAACAGGGCTATTCTCTCGTCCTCCAGGTACTGCTGCAGGTCCTTGTCTATATGGCCACTTTCTGCATGAGCCTACAGAGGAAGGTTCACAACAAATTCTTATAAGGATCAACATGTCAGAAAAACAACATACATCTATCTACATTCACGTGCTAACCAAAACTATCCAAGTTAAACATGCATGTGCTAGAACCTCTATTCACATCTATTTGCATATATGTCTTGTTTTGAGCTCTTTTCATCTTGGGAGACGGACTGAAGCTTTTGTCAATTCTCAATGGGCAGCACCTCTCATGGCTGGTGCCGCCGATACTAGCTACATGTACTTTGACAAACTGTGTGTTTTGAGAGAGCTCTAGTGCAGCAACCCAGCATATGCATGTAGTTTGGATATGCGGGAGTGCATTATACATGGTATGTTCCATTGGAGAGCTCTTTCAATGGATTTTTGAAGATGGCAGTTATATTATATGAGACTGTAGTTGTGTAAAAATGAGCACATGGCACTGCGACATTTGTGTTACACACCAATTAAAAGACTAGCATTGAAAAACACTAACATCCAGCAAGGATGTACATGATTTACCTGATGTAAAAAGCAAACATCAGGTGGCTGTCTTGGCGTCTGAAGCATTCCAAGTGAGAGCAGGAAACAGAGGTGTAAGAAGAATGTAGCATGTTGTGTTTGCATATCTACAAGATTCTATATTTGTCCTTTCGATTATCACAAGATGCTGAATCTTAGTTCAAAGCTGTGTTTATCATGAGGAAACACCAGTGTTCTAACCAGCATGATGTTTTTTCTTCGTTACCTCAATTTTGTCGATGTAACATCATATAGAGCACCAAAGGCACCGCAATCCTACAGAGTTCTGGGTCATACTTCCTGGGGATAATTTGGAAGTCTTGACCCTCTGAAATGCTATTTCCTGCACTTTGAGGGGCAAATTAGGCTGGTAGGCTTAGTTTAATGAAATCTCTTTCCATATCTTTACAAATGACGGAAAGACTGACTAGAACACTGGTCCACACACAGGAAGAGCCATAGAAAGTGGGCTGGGATGTGCCAATTCACGGCAGGGGGTGTTTCACAACCTACCTGCTTCTGTTTTGGGGAGGAGATTTTCTGTGGAGACTTTGGAGGGGAGACAGTGATCATGATGCCTACCTGTTTCTGTTTTGGGGAGGAGATTTTCTGTGGAGATTTCGGAGGGGAGACAGTGATGCCCTGTGCCTTCAGCTGCTCTGGAGTTGGCTGGATTCTCAGGAAGTCGTCAGGAAGCTGGCCGAGGAGTGGCGGGTTCCAGTTCCTAAACGGCTTCTAGAAATAAGAGAAGAAACAAAAGCACAGTTTAGGACATGGAACTGCTAGCCTAAGTTTGCATGTTTGTGTGTATGTATGTGTGTATGTGGTTTGGTTGGTTTTCCTTTTAAAAAATTATGCCCATCATTCTGGCATACTCATTTTCACCTGAGCAAAGTGAGGAAAACGTGTCAAGTGCCTTTCCCCAGGGCACAGGGTTGGTAACTTGGCAGGATACGAACCCAGGACCTCTTGGTTCTGAGTACCCTGGATGCCAAACTAGTATCGGGCCGTTAGCCGTTTTCCTTCGGCAGCCGAGAGCCCTTCGCCCGCCTGCCCAAATTACCGCTACGGGGGAGTTGAGCCCGAGGGGAGTTGGCTGGCCCTAGAACTAGCCAAACTCCCCCCGGGCTAGACTCCCCCGTAGCGGTAATTTACACCAGCGGGCGAAGGGCTTTTGCGGCCCGGACAGCGAGTTTGGCATCCAGGGTAGGTTCTGAGCCAAATGCTCTGCCATTACACCACACAACCCCACCTGTTTATGTAAGTATATACAGAACCACAATATAGTGTATCAGAATACTTCAAATCTTCAAACAACATCTAGCTATAGAAACAACCATGAAACCTGGGAAATGTATTAATGGATTTTGTTTGTACAGTGAACATCACGAATTCTATCAAAGAACAGCCTAAACTTCAACATTAACTAAACTTAATTGTATTTGTATGTATACCTAACGATTTCATTTTCTTCCAGGTTGACCCTTGATAATAGTCTATGACTAGTTGGGTAATGATCCTGGCTGTTGTAAGCCAAACTAACAAACAAATGAACAAAAAATTGAGGAACTATCGGTACTTACACTCCCACCAGACCCTGACACATTCAGCTCCTTGCCGGTCATGACCAGGTGGATGGGGGAGGACAGGGGGGGAGGAGGAGGGGGGAGGGGTGGGGATACCCTGGGATGCAAAGAAACTCGGAGGGGGGTCTGCTCGAGGGGTGTACACTGGAGGGGGCTCATCATCACTGGAGTCTGGCTGGAGAACCTGAGAAAGGAAACAAGCAGATTGTCAACTTTTGCAATGATGACATGCTGCAAGTACAGGGGATGTTTGGGCATTGGATCACTTGCGAATTTTTGGCATGATTGAGAATTGATAAACGGCTTGAAAATTGCTTGTTCACAATAAGTGCTGTGCTCAGAAAGATAGGATTTTTTAAGAGAAACTTCTCACTCAATAACAAGTTTGAATTCTTTGTGGCATTTTGATTGCTTTGATTGTTAAAAGGAAAGACATTTAGAAGAAAAAATCAGCACCAATAAGCAAGAAAATGATATTCAGGAACTGAATTTTTTAATCAGGGTGTACCATAATGGAAATAGCCAAGTCCTGCAAAAAGTAAGCAAAGGGTAGTATTAGTGTGGTATCCAAAAAGCAATTGCAACAAGGTCAGGGTTCTCTTCTCTATGTCTTGATTTTTGTAGTAGCCAGCAGTACTCTATACCAGAATGCCTACAGAAGCATTTGTGCAAGCACCAGAGGATTGAAAGTTCTGAAGCCCAAGTCAAGCAGCCAATAGTGCTTCTTAGAGGCAATACCTGGCCTGTAGTGGGATCTCCATACCAGGGCTCCATATTCAACACCTACGAGTAGCCATAACAGGATGATGGCAGGATAAATACAGGCGCATTAGACTGTGAATGTGTGATGAACCATTTAGACATTACATGTTCACAGCAAACTACAGTAAACAATTCTGACATACATTATACATATTCAATACAGAATCTAGGATATCATACAGTTTTTGTCTCTACATAATATCTTCTTTGGCAATTCAATTGTGGTACTTGACTCTGCCTGTTGACTTACTTATTCTCAACCAAAAGAAACAAAAAAACGACAACTTTATATCTATAACTATATAAGTAATAACTATATGAGTGTACAGATGACAAAGGTTTACCCAACAAAAAAATTGAGCTTTTTTTTTTACCTCAGGGGGGATTTCATCCTCGTCCTCGTCAGAGTAGATCTCCCCGTCCTCCTTGTTGTCTGCGTTCATCTGCAGCAGCTGGTCGATGGTGGCGTCCACCGCGCCGTTGTTCGACCGCAGGACGGCCTCGATCACGTCCCGGTCAATACTCGGGAACATCGTCATGAAGTCGTGCATGGCCTGGTTGAACTCCAGCTGGCGCGCGCCACCCCCGGGGGTCGGCGGGGACACCATGTTGTTGGCCACGGGCGGTTCCGAGTCGCTCCCGCTCCGGCTGCTGCGGCTCCGACGCCCGAACAGGCTGCGCCGTTTGTTCCCCTTCTCTTTCTGCTCTCCCCTCATCTGGGTGTCCGGCGCAGTCGCCATCGTGTAGCTAACAGTCCTTACAAGCTCCTTACAAGATAACCTAGCTTAAGACTTCCTTAAAGACAATTAAGAGCTTCTGAGATGTCCTGAATGAAAAGTTACAAGGATGGCACAGCTACAGTTCCTATTCGTCGGTCGCCCATGTTGGCTCTGTAAAACAGAGAGAGAAAAATGTATCTTACATGTAGTTCTCCATACAAAAATTTCTGTCACTGTACAGGTAGCATCCGGCAGGTCAGTGCACTATGACCTGTATACATTGTAGTATCATGTTACCAAGGCGATATGCACTGGAAAGGTGTAAACGTAAGAACTTCATGAATTTGTGTCATTGTACACTTCAAGAAGCCCACAGGGCAAAACCGGTCGTGACAGGCTAAATAAAATTACAAAGTTCTAACAGGAACTATGCTGCTCAGGATGTCTTACGTATACCGAGGTGTGCTAGATGTCAGCTTGAGAAATGAATCTACTAGGCAACAAAACTGTTAAGACTTGTGCCTTCATTATGTGAGTAGCATATTCTCTATAACACCCCTGACAAGCACGTCGGCAGAACGTACTGCACCTGCGCGAAACCCGTAATGTATTGTACATACCACTTCAGCAGAATGTCTCATATAACATATAAGGTTGTATTCGCTCATATAAGGTTAGCATTTTGACAATAGTTTCCAAATGTTGTGTCGGAAAGAATATCCTCTGCAAAATTCTGATGCAACGTTGACCAAAAATCCAATTAAAAACGCGAAAATACAGGGTTCTGCGCAGGCGCAGTACGTTCTGCCGACATGCTCCCCTGACATCTATCAACAGATCACATCAGGTTTGAAAACCTGTTTTCCATCTCTGCACTACACAATGTGCAAGAGAATGATACTGTCATCTTGGGAACTGACAACCATGAAATGAAGACTGGAACAGTTACACATACACGTACATGTACTACTACTAGTACCTGTATCTCACACCATCTCTCATCAGAACCAATCCATGCAGACAACGCAAGGCCATCTTGAAATCTTGCCTATCTTCTAAATATCTGCATGTTAATGCTATTTATTAAAGCATGGGAGTCATGCAAACTGACCTCCTATTCCAGATCCAAGGCAGCAAGTTTATATGATTTTCAGTAGCTTCTTCACAACACATACCAAATGAAGTATCACATGATATAAGAATTATATTAGATCACAGCTTGAAATAGTATTACAGTGTAAGTGTAATCATTGAAGAATGCCAGTCCCTAAAACTGCCTATTATGCAGATGCAATTTACCAACATAGCCCTAAACTTCTTAGTAGTCTTTCCTCTTTTCCAAGAACCACGTCATGTTTAATCATCTCTGTTGTTACATCTAATTCACAGGTATATGTACAGGGCTGTCCCCAAGCAATGGAATAATGATGCATGCACACTGCATTTTCTCAAAATTTCTAACTGGAGAAATATACCTTAATTCAAATATACACTTAGCTGAGAATATACTGTGATTTTCCAAGAAAACACTAAACATGCTAATAGTGTGCTGTGTCAAATCATACATGTATATGGCCATGAGCCAGTTCATAACATAATATTAGCAAAAAATATATTTTCATAAAACATGAAAGGCTTAATTAAGAAGCATGCTAAAATGAATTAATATACAAGAAGATCTTTGTAACAAAAAATTATAAAAAGTTAAAACGCATTTGTAAGTTTGTAACTGAGGATGGTATGTATACCTAATGTAAATACGATTCAAGACTAGCTAGTTAAATCTGCCAAAAAGAGTAAGAAGAACCTCTAATATATTTGTTTGTTTGAAGCTTTGTTTATTCACGAGAATCTCAAATCGACCTGCAGGCTGTTTTTCATAGAGGTTACAAGTAAGGAGGTAACAAAAAATATAGCTAATAGTATATACATTTCTCCATTGAATTTCATATACATATATGCAGCAGACTGTTTTCTATTCCCTCACCCCCATGTAATGCACATCTACTGAAGGGTGACTCATCATTCTGTTATAATGCATTTCCCAACCCATCAGTTAAACCTGGATGTCAGGTCATAAGTCAAGTCATACAGTAGCTACTGTTTCCACAGAAAGCTGCTTTAACACACAATCGATAACAACATCAATTGTTTTCAAAAAGGAAAATTTTGTCTCATTCTACTTTCAATTTTTCAACGTGCCATCTTTTATTTCAGAACGTTTAACATCAATCATTTTATATTTCCAGCCTATACTACACCCATCATTTACAATAAATGCATCACTGTATCTTATATAAGAATAATACTGTATCATGATTTTGTGTTGACATTCGAACATCATCAAAATGGTAACACATCAAGTTGTCACTTCTTATGTTCAAATCACATATAGAATAACACATACAGCATTTTTTGCCCCTCCTAGCAAATGCAATTTCTTGTTAAAAGCTGCCAATTCACAGAAGGAAAATAGACTAATATAGACTGTATAATAATTTTGTCTTGACATTCCAACATTAGCAACGGGCTTTCATGGATGGTTTAATAGTGAAACATCACTTCATAGGTTGAAACAGAATACAATAATACGTATAGCATATTTTTGCCCCTCCAAGCAAATGTATTTCTTGGTAAAAGCTGCCAATTCACAGAAGGATAATTCTGTATCATAATTAAGTCTTGACATTCCAACATTAGCAACATGCTTTCACATATAGTTAAATGGTCAAACATCACTGTCAGTGTCACTTCTTATGACAATGTTCAAACCAAATACAAAAATACAATAACATATGCAGTATTTCTTTGGCCCCTCCAAGCAAATGCATTTCTTGGTAAAAGCTGCCAATTCACAGAATAATTTCATCTTGACATTCCAACATCTAAGCAATAGACTTTCACATATACATTGTATATGGCTAAATGGTGAAACTGCTTATTGTTCAAACTGAATATAATAACATATGCAGCATTTTTTGCCCTCCAGTCCAAGCAAATGCATTTCTCGGTAAAAGCCGGCAATTCACAGTGTTAATGAAATATATATATGGCTAAAAGGTGAAACATCCCTTCTTGAGTTCACACACAAAAAAAATACAACAGATATGTATAGCATATTTTTCCCCTCCAAGCAAATGCATTTCTCGGTAAAAGCCGGCAATTCACAGAAGTGGCTAATGAAATGCTAAAATCTCCACATATATATATATGGCTAAATGGTGAAAGATCATTCACTTCTTAGTATACGTTCACACAAAAAAATACAATAATATGTATAGCATATTTTGCCCCTCCAAGCAAATGCATTTCTCGGTAAAAGCCGGCAATTCACAGAAGTGGCTAATGAAATTACAGAGCAGCTGACCCATACGTGACTCATGCACCCATTCACTAAGTGTTACCCATCCATTACTCACTGACTCGGGGTTAACGCTAGAGCATGGGAACCCAATAATCAATAATACGGACATGTACGCGATCAATCCATCTGTCTACATGTCATCTTTCATTCGCTGTAAATCACACGCTCAAATTTGTTGACAATGGAAACGGTGGGAATAAATTTGACCCAAATGAGTACAATTTCTCAAAAATATGATTGAGGGTAATGTTATTTTTTTTCTGTGCAACTACCGGTAAGATCTTCACTACCGGTAAGGTTTTAAGTTTTGGTGTACCAGTGTACTAATTCTCAAATATGAATTTCAAGCCCAGTTGGTTTTTCCAACCTCTACAATTACAAATAATTCAGCAATTAGTTGTTACAAGTAGTAGTACATATAATTCTGTCAAGCTAATAACTTGGATTTTATAAAAAAAAAATTTAATCATTGCCATTAATTCCCTCTTCAGATTTCACCTTTTGAAGTTAAAGTTCACTGGGGACTTCAAGGGTTTATTACTATTAGCAATTTGCACTCCCTTTCATAAATCCCTCTGCATGACACCCGCACAGTTGTCTGCACTTATTACTATCATATACAGGCTTGTATGAATAATTTTTTTACTCTTATGATGCCAAGTGAGTTAGGGATCAAAAGATATATTGATTATAGTAATTTTATACATGTATTGTTTTGGAATCTTAATTAAATTAATCCCAATTTAGTAATGACCCAAGAATGCCTGGTCTTCTAAAAAATCCCAATATTGCAGTTTCTTTTACCGGTTAATTCTAGCATCCACACGATCACATTACTTGGAGTCAAGTTGAGATTGCTATAGACAGGAACTCAAGTGGGACACCAGATTAAAGGCATGCACGGATCCAACTTCGCCCTTGAGAGCAGTTCCAGGCCTTGGAATTCTATGAATAACAGGCTCCTACTTTCCCAAGGAGTTAACAGTCCACAGATGAAACGGAATCAATGCCAATCCTCGTACTGTGAGCTGTTTCTCAAAGGATTCTAATTCAAGGTTGTGGCATTCATTTACATGAGGAGTAGCTCTATTTCCCGTTATATTCTGGATAAACAGATAAAGAATTATTCCACTTTCTATGTCTTAGAAGACAGTATAGCTGAATATAAAATATGTTTGCACACAGAAAAATATCAAAACTAAATGTTGTATATTTGAAGATCAAAGATGTCTGAAAACATTCCCTTTTCCACTTCTCTTTCAGTAACAGAGGCTTCTATTTGGCGTGGTACCAAAATCTATACCCTGCCTTTCTACACAGACTGTCCAGACATTGTCATCTATTCATTACACTTTCCATTCAACTGCCATCAGGAGAACAGAGGAGCTATTTTATGTACAAGAAGAAATGACGATAGGGCTTGAAACACAAACTGCATATGCAGGTTAGGCCACACCAAGTAAATTTTATGGATGACGTCCGCGCGCGCGCATTGATTTTGGCCTGTTTCTAGAAAAAAAAACAAGAAATTCCGCTTCCTGTAACTATGACCAAATAGTCACGACAGTGCCGCAAATAGGTTTGTACGAACCAAAGCTTATGAAGCATCAAGCAAGACTTCCATTAGGAATTCAGTTTGGTACATGCTGACACATTTGAAGAAACTTGCTGACCGCTCCATCTATCTCCCCAAAGCACAAGACGACAACTGCTGATCCACCTGATTTACTGCTGTTTTGATGATGAAGAAAAGACTTCTTGCTTGTTACACTGTGTCACCTCATTCAATTTGTGTCCTAACATTTGT